GTTTACTTTCTGATTTTGTTCAGTCACGTGGTGGCCCAAGAAACAGTGACGGGTCTTCAGTACTGAACGAGCATGTTTGGGCAATTGTCCAAAAATTTTACCAATTTCTAGAAACTTTTTATGATTGTACTCTAACTTTGTCACAAGTTTATTATCCAACTGCTAATATAATTTTGCACAACCTTCTTGAAATTGCTACTTTATTTAAAGAATACGAAAATGATGACGTTCTAACTGAACCTGTCTTTCACATGAAACAAAAATATTTGAAATATTGGAAAAATATACCTATGTTGTATGCTCTTGCTTTTGTTTTAGATCCTAGGTGTAAATTAAGGGGATTGTCTGCTATTTTATCACTTGTTGGAGATACTATAGGTGTAGATTATAGTTCTTTTTATACTGAGGTTAGACGTAAATTATATGAGGTTTTTGGAAGATATGAAGTAAAGTTTCAGGAAGTTCGCCAGCAGAGACCCCCTCCTATCCCCACTACAGGTAAGAAGAAGATACAGTGGGGTAGGATTTGGGGTGGATCGTCTTCAAGTTCAATCCAAGGTGGTGGCAGTTCGTCGGCTACAAGTGGAGACGCCTCTTCGCATGTTGTGGCCGAAGAGTTGTCCGGTTATTTGGACAGCGACGCCATCCACCACGAAGCACAAGATTTCAACGTCCTCGGGTGGTGGAATGACCACAAGATAACATATCCTGTGCTTTCAAAACTAGCACGGGATGTGTTGACGGTGCCCGTGTCGACGGTGTCCTCCGAATCGGCCTTCAGTCTATGCGGCCGAATCATCGAAGACCGGAGGACGACTCTGCGCAGCGACCACGTCGAAATGCTACTAAGCGTTAAAGACTGGGAGCTTGCTCGACAACATGCCCAATACACTGCGGACAACCAAGAATTGGCTGCCCAGTTCGAGCAACTCTACCTGGATCCAGACCAACCCCAGTAGAATTTTGTTAGAAGTAGTTCTGACCTTTGAGCTGTACTCTTTTCTTTGTCATGGTTTTCTCATTTTCCCCTATGAGTTTTTACATGACAAAGTTTTTAAAGAGGCAGCATGTATCATTGTATCCTGTAATGATATAAACATCAATAAAGGTCATTACTATTTTTAACAAATTCTTTTGCAATATTTTCGCAAGTGTGGATTTATCTTTAAATTATTTCAAAATAATGAATCACAATCTATATTTTTAAATTTTTCAACACAACAAAAAAATACCATTTTTTCTTTTTTTTAACATTAGCAAATCATTACTTTTTAAAAAAACTTTTATTTCCATTTTTTAAATACCATTTTTTCATTTTTTAACATTAGTAAATCATTACTTTTTTTTAAACATTTTATTTCCATTTTTAATTTTTTTTTTCCTTATACATTTCCTTTGCTTTTTTTTAAAAAAAAAACACTGTGCACTACAGGCTGGCGGGCTGGCGGCCTGCCTTCACGGGCCGCCGTGCCCCGAACGGCCCGTGGGCCGCGGGCGTGCCGTGCCGGCACGGGCACGGCCCGGCCATCCACGGGCCGTGCTTGGGCCGGCGGCTCGGCACGTGGGCCGGCACGGCACGGCCCGTTTCATCAGCCGTGCCTAACGGGCCGTGCCGAAACGGGCCGTGCCGGAACCGTGCCCGTGCCGGGCCGGGCCGTGCCGCCCGTTTGGACACCTATAGTGCATGCACTGTGATTGCCCTAACAGTACCGCATCATGAACCATATAAAATTATAAGTACGTACTCCTACTACTCAACACCCCACAAGTATTCCTAACATAACACCGTACGATTACAACAATTTCAGAGAGGTTTGGGTGTTCCACTATAATGCTTGTTCAAAAACTTGAATACATTTGTTTAATATTATAAATCGTTTTAACATTTTTCTTAGTCAAATTCTTTTTAAGGTTGAGTTTATAGAAATATATAACAATATTTTTAACACAAAACAAACACATTATTAAACTATATCAAATAGGAGTATTAGTTTTAGTGAAACTAATTCGTATCGTAGATGTTACTAAATTTTTTCTATAAATGATATCAGAGAAGTATAACTATAAAATCAAAATGACTTATAATCAATTTTTAACTATATCGAGTAACATAGAATTCATGTGGACTATGGGAGTTAGAATTCACACTCTCATTATTGTGAATGGTAATCTATTATATCTTGAGTTTACATTTTTTTTTATCTTTTTTAGATATCTAACTCTACATATTTCTTACATTATGTCCCTGTTGATATGATTGACATGCATTTGTGCCACACAGCCCACACTGCTTGCTTGAAATGGTAACGCCACAAACGCTATTAAACGATACGAATATTACTATTGTGTACGTACAAGACAGCAAGGTCTTCTTTTCACAACTCTGAGTTCGATCGATCTCGAATTTAAATTGTTAGCGGCAACGACAGAATCACAGAATACTAAAACAATTGCACATTTGTCATTACTATATGCTCCAATTGTCTATGCCATCGAAAATTCTGAAAATTGCTAGAATGCCATCAAAAGGGAGATTACCTTGTAAAAATTTTGCCACTATCGTTAGGTTTTTTTAACTCCGTAGTAGTTTTTATTTCTTAAGAAAATGGAAGATGAGAAAATACTTTGCAAGAAAATGGCTCAAATGCTACCAGCAGATGAATTTGACGATGAGCACAACATTTTATTTAAGTTTTTCTTTAAAAGAAATCTAATGTACAGTCCAAACATGTTGACTTGGTAGCGTTAGTCAAATTTAACGGCAGGGTGGTATATTCGCAACTTTCGGATGAAACCACTAGCATTTTAGAAATTGATAATTGAAAAGGTGGTGGCAGATTTACAATTATAGCAAATCGTAGTGGCGTATGTGCAGTTCTCCCATTATTGTTTGTTTTTTTCTTCTGGTATTTACTTGGTTTAAAACTAGGCCGTCACCGCCATCCGATTCTGTGTTTAGTTCTATGTTAAAATTAGAAGTTTGACTAAAATTGAAAGTTTGAAGAAAAAAGTTATAAGTTTATGTGTGTAGAAAAATTTTAATGCGATGAAAAAGTTAGAAATTTAAAGAAAAAGTTGGAACTAAAGAAGCACTAAGCTGGATTGATTTACCATGCATCCCTGATACTTTGTGGTTGATTGCAGTGCATGCAGCTGTGTGCTTAAACTTAAGACTTACGAAATGAAATATTTCGTTGGCACACAAACACGTCATAATTTCTAGAGGAAGGCAATCGAAATTTACATATTCCATTGATAGTTTTTATGGTGTTTTCTATTGATTGTAGTTGTAGAGTCGATTTAAACCGTTCGTCTTTTCTCATTTAATGGAACACATCTATTTATAATGCATCTCAGTTGGCTGATAGCAAAATTAAGGAGTGTATACGTAAGTTTGATTACGATTAATATTCAGATTATGATATTATATCATGCTAAAAATATATTGTTTGTTAAATAGTTGTTGATGTTTAGTTTCGAAGATTATACATTGTCAAATGACTACATTGCCCAAAAAATTGGATGGATTAAACTTATAATCACTGGGTGCCTTGAACATAGGAGAAAAATGTTCGAACAAGGTTACCCATATTGTTTTGAGATGCTAAAGTGAAAGAGCGTCGTAGACTAATAACAATGGAAAATAATTCGGTAGCAATCTGAGTAGCACTTGAAGATATGCACCATGCACTAACATTCAAGAACCTTAAGAAAAAGTTAAACAACACCATGCATGCAAATATAACTAATTAAGGGTATGTTTGGTTTGTTACTAAAATAAACTTACTAAATTTTGGCTAGACAGCAAAATAAAATATATGAAGCAATCACAACCATACCTTGATTTGGCAACTTTGGAAGTTTCTACTCTTAAAGGTCCATCAAAATCTATTCGGGGTTTGTAAATTCGACTATAACTACCCGACAATTATCATTATTTCAATTGATATGGTCTGAATCCGTAGAACTTTATTCGATGAACGTTGATAGATTCTGATGAAATTCAAGTCATAACCAGGCAATTGTCAAAAAGATCGGGGATGGATCTCGCACCTCCTTCTAGCATGGCAAATGGCTGATGGATGAACCTTTGGCTCACAAATTTCAAGCTCCGTTTACACACTCAAGTAAACCTGAAGGATGAAACGAAGTCATCTTCTAAACCTGCCACCCTCAGTTTCCCGCTTACTGCGCAGCTGCTCGGAAACGGCTGGATTATGGTCACATCGCTTCAAACAGACCCACTGGCACGTTGCCTCCACTTGAAAGGCGCTATTCGCCTCCCCTATACATTTTTTCTAATCTTCATGTGTTTCTCCTCGATGTTTTCTTCCTCTTATTTATGGTTCGGCTGATTTAGTTTTAAACTTTTGTGGAGTTCTTTTAAATTTTAATTAATTCAGGTGAGAAGACTCTGCCTGGAAATGGCTAGATTATAGTCACATCGCTTCAAACAGATCTACTGGCACGTTGCCTCCACCTGAAAGGCGCTATTCGCCTTCCCTCTACATTTGTTCTAATCTTCATGTATTTCTCCTCGATGTTTTCTTCCTCTTCTTCCTGGTTCGGCTGATCTAGTTTTAAACTTTTGTGCAGTTATTTTAAATTTCAATTAATTCAGGTGAGGAGACTCTGCCCCGGTGTCCCTTAAAAAAAGATTTATGCAGTCGAACTTGATTGGAGATATTAGCGGTCATTTTATTAGTCCAGTGTTTGTTTTAATAATGAATTAAAACTCAACATCTATATATTCAAAGGATGTACACAACCAAATGCATGAGATTTCTCATGTGTTTAACTTATAAAATTTTGTTAATATCATTTTTTTTGCATTACAAAAAATTGATATGTTCATCTTCAACAAATCAAACATGCCTTGAAGACACATGAATCATACAAAGATTTCTGCCACAGGACATCTTGGAAACCGTCCAAAACCAGAGTTCCCGGCCCACCTCAGCTCCTCCTCCTGCGTCCTTTTATTAATACGCGATCCATGGCTTCTTGCATCAGCTGTTTGCCCCGTCCACTGACCTCTCTCTCTGCTCTCCGCCTCTCACCTCCGTCCTCCAAAGGACGAATCGGCACTCTGCCCAGTTCATCTCCACGATCACTGCTCGATTCTCGAAGCAGGGGAGGCCATTGCCACCGACCAACAAAAGTTGAAGGGGTACACACATCTGCATGCAATTTCTGTCCTCTGGTTGCTAGCTGCCGCTTCTTTCAAGTTTCAACACTCCTTGCAACCCTCCACTCGTAGGATCATCTCCATTTCCAATCCTCCTTCAGTTTTGTAAATAATGAAGAGGCCCACCAGCAGCAGCCGAAAATCCAAAAAACAAGGTGTGTTTGCTGCGAGATCTTTTTCGTTTGTGTAGACTACTTGTGGAGTGCGTCATGGCTGCAAATCTGTTTGAAGCTTAAATACAAGTGCAAACTGTACAATCCATCTGCATTTGCGGTAGTAATATGTTTCGATCCAGTGTAATTGAAGCAAGAATAATACAAACACAAAGTTAAAAGTGTACGCATATTTTTTTGCAGGAGAGGACCTGGCGTTCTCTGAGGAGGGCAGCTTGCCCGCGGTGACCATGGAGCAGAAAGATGAAGCCGAGATGGAGGAGGTGGACGAGGAGGAGGAGGAGGAGGTCGACGAAGACATGGCCGGCGGGCACGCGGCGCAGTCGCCGTCGCCGTCGTGCGGGCTGGGCGAGAAGAAGCGGCGGCTGGCGCTGGAGCAGGTGCGCGCTCTGGAGCGGAGCTTCGACACGGACAACAAGCTGGACCCGGACCGCAAGGCCCGCATCGCGCGCGACCTCGGCCTGCAGCCGCGCCAGGTCGCCGTCTGGTTCCAGAACCGCCGCGCCCGGTGGAAGACGAAGCAGCTCGAGCGCGACTTCGCCGCCCTCCGCGCCCGCCACGACGCCCTCCGCGCCGACTGCGACGCCCTGCGCCGCGACAAGGACGCCCTCGCCGCCGAGGTACGCGCCCACCGCTGTGTTTTGCCCGACGCGCGCGAGAGCTTGTCACTCACCTTCAATTCGTGCTCGATCGATCAGATTCGGGAGCTGAGGGAGAAGCTGCCCACCAAGCCGGCGGACACGGCGGCATCGGTGAAGGTAGAAGCCGGCAATGACGCGGCGGCCGGCGCCGCGGCCGCCACGGTGTGCAAGGACGGCTCGTCGGACGACAGCGACTCCAGCGTGGTGTTCAACGACGAGGCGTCGCCGTACTCCGGCGCGGCCTTCATTGGATTCGGCCCGTCGTTCTTGGTCGACGACGCGTCGGCGGCAACCGTGGGCTGCTCGTCGTCGCTCCCCGCGCTCGAGTCCAAATGGCACGGTCCGTACTCCGACGACTCGTGCAAAGGCGGCGTCTATGGCTTCACGGAGGAATGGCTCGCTGCCTGCTCCGGCGAGATGGCCGGCAACGACGCCGCCGGCTTCTTCTCCGACGAGCACGCCTCCAACCTCAACTTCGGTTGGTGCGCGAGTGGTAACGAGGGTTGGGAATGAGATTTTGATCTCCACGGTTAGTGTAAAAAATGGCAGGGTTAGTAGCACTGTGCATAACCGCATTGGCGCATTGCATGCTTGGATGGAGCACGTACTTTTAGTTTTTTTACTGTACTCATTTACTACCGCCTTTGGCTACCTGGCGTGCTTACTGCTAGTACTGTAGCAAAGTAGCAAGAAGTGGAACGAGCCTAGAGGACGAAATTGATATAGGGTAATTAACGAAGGATCAAGGATGTAAATTTTAAGCCGCCAAGGGGTCGAAGAAGGATAGCACAGGACAGCAAAGCATAGCTGTCTGCGTTTTACTACCTGTGGTATATATATCATACTAGTATATTATAAAGCATTACATAATAGAAAAAAAAAGACATAATGCCACATGATGTCTATGCGAACGTAACCAAAGTATCATGTGGCATCCCTGAACGCAGCCTAAGTATCGAGATTTGTTGCTCCGTACCTCGAATGATGATAGCCCAAAAGTAAATAGCGAGTCAAAATAACTAAATCATTTAGTTCAGTAACCAAATCTTCATAGCAGAATTAGTGAAAACAGAGGTGCACAGGAGCCCCAAGCAGTAAGCAGCAACAGCACTCACAGCAATACAACATGTCTGAGTCAAGGTCTCAACTCCCTACTGACCCTCCAAGCTGCTACATGCAATCGCACACTGGCAAGGTCCAATATCATCTTCAAAAGTCTCTCCATCCCATTTTTCAAGTTAAAATTTAATAATTGTGAACAAAAATCACACCCAACAGTCTCTCCGTCTGGTTGGTCAAACTCATTCCCTCACTTGCCAAACAGGCACCACCACAGCATAGGCATCGCACCTGCCCACCGCGCCCATCGACGGCCTTTCTTTAGCTGGCGTCGGCCACCACGCCTCATGCGCTCACGGATCCAACTGTCGCTGTCGCACAGACATTATCACCGTAGAGAGGGAGAGTGCTATGGAGGAGCTTGAGGATGGCCCCAACGGGAGAAGAGGAAGAGAGGAAAAAAGAGAAAGAAGAAATGGTAGTAGAGGCTGACATATGGGTCTCAGTGTTGGCTGTATAGATGTTTGGAGAGTTTGATTTGGTAGACCGTTAGACATACTCTAAAGAACATAGTACAATTCGGGAGCTTCTCACAGCTACGACTAATTGTAAAATCTCCTACTCCTCAAAGTATTCAGATTTTTATCTAAATTTTGAGAATATGTGACTACAGGATAAAAAATAAACTACTAACCAAATATTGTGTTTCACCTTACGAAAATACCTTAGCGTTTTTTTTACCTCTGAACACAACTAGTATGCTTTCGATCATGTTTGGCACATACGTGGCAGCATTTTGGCGATGTGGCAATCTATAGTGGGTAAGATTATCGATCAATTTTGCTTATACCTTTCATCCAAAATTTATCGAATTAAATTTAGAAATTTGGCCGAACCTATAAGTCTCAGCCTCCTCTAAACATCTTTTGTGCACTCCGGTTTGTCTGGTACATAAGTTGAGGGTAAATCGGATAGGACATTTTACAGGCTAAATCAAACATTTCCCCCAAAATACTATCTGTAGCGTTTTTACAGAAAGCTACGGAGGATCCATCGCATGTTTTGGCAGCTGATAAATTTTGAAAGATAACGCAAGCCAGCTAAAGCACCAAACACTACTGACTGGCCAGCATGATGGCTTGTTCCCCTGCCACCAAACAAATGAAGGGATGAAGACATGAAGCACATCGTCTTAAAAAAAGATAGAGAAAAGGAAAGATGTTATGGGTGTATAAAAGCAGGTCCTCCAAAGTGATGTAAAAAAGTAGCCATCAAAGATAAGTAGATGACTCTCCTTCAAGGACATTTTATAAAGCCATGTTAATTGGCTTACACACAAGGGTTAAGCCCATATTCTTTTTAGCTTATTGATTCATGAAACAGATCGTTTTACTTCACGCTTTGGAAAAATATATTTTCCTAGATTTTTTTACTGTTCAAATAACTCGTTTTAAACTATATATTAAGTTTTTCTAAAAAAATTACTCTAAATCACACAGAGTTTAAACCATGTTGGGTCAAGTAGGTACGTAATCAAGTCCACGGAAGTACCCCTGTATCATGCAACCATGTTGGGTCATCGTCTAAACTCTTGTGTGTAAGCCAAGGTACAGAGTGACAGCCGCAGTCGAGATTGCAGATGTGATCAGATACCATCAAGAATTGTTTGGCATCAAGAGGGAGCTTGGAAAGTGTTCAGTGCTCTTCCAAAAATAACTGACAGTATTGTGCTAGTAGTAGATTGCAAAGCTGAGCCTGCAAAGGATGCATGCTTTTACCATTTTGGGAAAACATGAGAAGAAAATCCTCTTATCTACAGACAGGTTCCGTCCGCAAGAAAGAAAAACGCTGCAGTCCCAATTAACACAAAGTGGTATAGTGGTTTTCAATCGTGTCAACACGTCTCCAAGATGGCCATCAATTTTATTCCAATGTTTGGTAAGCGTCCTTTTCGCTTGTAGGGCACAGGCATCGCAAGTAAGTAAAGAATCATATTAAGTACCAGTGGTGATATGTCACACAAGGTGAGACGTCATGAAATAAAGAAGAAAGAGACAGATATAATACACCCCGAGCCATGTGGCTAATTTTATACGGAGTAATCTTTCTTTGTCTTAATAATAAAACCTGGTGCAGTATGATCGGAAAGAAAAAAAAAGAAGAGGAAGAGCATCTTTGGTCTTGGCAGTGCTCTCAAACCACAGGCCTGGACATCGCAAGAACCTTGCAAAGGCTGAAAGTTCGCTGAAATTTGGAGTAGAAGATCGATTTTGCCATGAAAATCCTGTGCAACGCGCAGTATGGTGCACAGGATCTTGCCATGCATGCGCAACCACGACAAAATTGTACGTGTAGCTATCGCTGAGGAGTACGTACGTCTCGATTGAATGGATGTGTCGTGTTGACCGCACTGAAGATGCGGACGCGTGACATCTTCTTGTCCCCCGGGGTACCTATGTCCTATCTCCGGCCGCTAAGCTCCAAACGTACTCCAGCGGACACGTTCGTCCGGCCTCGGCTGACGTCTCCGGCGACCGCGACCGTGTCGGCCGCTGGATCGGGCCCTTTGTTACCGCTGGTCGACGACGACGAGAAGCCCATTAATTACAACACTTAACGGCGGACCGTCAAATGACATATGCTTCGACATTTCGGTTGTGTTGGGCTGTCGGCCCGTCAGTGAAAATTCTTTTTCAGCCTTTACTGCTTAACCTAACCGAAATAGGTACATTTTAGGTCCCTTAAAAACATAAGTGCAATCTAATTCGTATTCCTCAACCGCAATATCAGATATATTGACTCTCCAACTATTGAAACCGGTGTGATCTCCCTAAATGGTTTCGAGAGTGGTTTGCTAGTGTTAGGGATCGCCTCATCTCCTTCAGCTTTGGCTCAACGATGCCCAGGATCCACCTCGGCATGGATGGATACCGCTACGCCAAGTCTGAGCTCTCCCATGATCATGGTGGCATAAGAGAGGAGGGGGATGTAGTGGTGGCGGCAGCCGGCAGTGCTTGGTTTGGCACTGCCTAGATGACTACAGCGTGGATCTTTTAGTGACCTCCGTGATGGGACTCCACCCAGCGAGCTTCGTGAGCTCACGCAGCAGGCCCATCCCTTGGTGTGCTTTGTGAGCGAGGAAAAGCGGCGGCCTTGATGTGCTGCGATGGCGAGCCTCGAGACGAAGTGGCGATGAAGCGTCCTTGAGGCGGATATATGGCTCATCGTCCTCAAGGTGAAGAGAGGTCGCAACCTCGAGGTAGAATGGCGTGGTCTCGAGGCGGAGTGGTAGAGGAACTCATCAAAGCCCCACCAAGTGTGGACTAGATCCACTCACCTACCGGTAGGACGGCGAAAGGCCGAGAAAGGGCAGTACTAGTACTAGGACGATGGCGGCGGCGGTGGCTCGGCGTAGCCAGCCATGCAAGGGGCCGCTTCCCTTCTTTCTACCATACCTTCTCCTCCACACTAGCTGCTGCTCCACCCTCCTCCCGCTCTAGCTCGACAGTGTCATCGTTGTGTGCCGTGTGGGAAAAGAGAGGGGACAAAGGAATAGAAAAGAAGATGAGAAGAAAGAGGAGGTAACACTGATATATGGGACCCGCATGCTGACTCAATTGGTTGAACCAGGTCAACGAGCCATATCAACGAAAACCGCTGTGGAAGTTAAATTACACTAGTTTCAATAGTTAGACGACCAAAATATTTGATATTGTGGTTGAGAGATATGAATTAGCTTGGAGCTATATTTGAGGGAGTAAGGGTATACTTATTCCTAACCTAATCTCTTGACAGGGCTTTCAAATCTCGGCCCATGTATTTCTCAGCTCAGAATCTGGACCGATCCAATCCTCTAGATGGTGAATGTTTTGTCTGACGTATCGATGCCTGCCTACGTTTGAGAAGCTAGGAGTAGGAGGCGGATCAGCGGATGGAGGACAGCCTCCACTTCTGCACTGCATCATCGGCAAGCAGGTTTGCTCTGCGAGGCAACGCGGATCAGCAGAGCTCACAGCTCACCGTCACCGACGGCCGACGCGACGGGAGAAGATCATCATCAGCTGCACATGCAAGAAAACGGCGAGAGCTAACGAGCGCGTCCCACACGGCCACAGCGACGCCCCCATCCCGACGTCGCGGCCGGAGTCTGAAAGTCTGAACCCATGCGTGGCACGAGGACGATCGACCGGGCTCAGCTCACGTCCTGAAAACGTACGAAGCACGCGCGAAAACGAACGCCCGCGTGCGAGAGCCACACGCGGTGCGACACGCGTGCGCGCGGACGTGGACGCCCCACGCCCCGGCGTAATGGAGGCACACGTAGGAGTACGTAGCACATCGTTGACTGCTCCTCCCACCCGCGACGCGCACCACCCGTTCACTCTCGCCGTCGTCGTCGTCGTCGTCAATCGTCTACCAGCATCTCCTGTCCACTGCGCGTGGGCCCGCCCGTCATCGCTGTCGCGGGCCATCGCCACTAGTGCCTCCCACAAGAGGCCGACGCGGCGTGGCACTAATCCTTTTCACCTTTTCTTTCTACTGACTTTTTTTTTTTACTTCTTTTCGATGTGGGGGAAATAATATAATTACACTTGGGGTGCACAAAGTCTGAAGGCAGTCACGACCAAATCCCACTCTAGCAGATGTGGAGTTAAAGAAATCAGGCTTCTTTTGACCACCTTGGATCAGTGAATGCGTTGGCAGCTCTAATCTAATCTTTCGTTGTATCGAAACATTCTTTTTTTTTTGTTTCTGTCGCCATTGTTGTAGGTTGGAATTATTAGAATCTGTGTTTCAGAGGCTGGTGTGGTGGTGAAAAGAAATAAATAATGGGCACCTTGAAACTAGTCTGATACGAAACAGTAGCGCCCAGGCCGAGAGACTCAGAGACAGAGTACCTGATCCTGATCCATGACAGTATGACCCTGTAACAGAGTTCACTGTTGGTGTTTACTTTCATCATTTTCGCATGAAATGCTTTTATACTGTGTTTAGTTTGTGTACTAATTTTTTTTATGTATACGGACACACATTTGAAGTATTTAACATAGACTAATATCATGACAAATTACAGATTTCGCCTGTAAACTGCGAGACGAATCTATTAATTCTAATTAATCCATAATTAGCAAATGTTTACTGTAGCATCACATTGTTAAATCATAGCGTAATTAGGCTCAAAAGATTCGTCTTATAATTTACATGCAAACTGTGCAACTGTTTTATTTTTTGTTCACATTTAATGCTATATGCATGTGTCCAAATATTTGATGTGATAGAAAAGTCAAAAGTTTGACGAAAATTTTTTGAATCTAAACAAGTCCTACGTACGTAATACTAGTTGTTAGGCTTTTTTAACGTATCTACTTTCCAAGCGTCGAAGTAAGTTGTTTTTTTCGGCAGCACATATTGATATTGCACTCATCATTGTTCCATCAAAATAATAACAAAAACGATTAGTTTGATTTTTTCCTAGGCAAACTTATTTAAGTTTAAGCAAATTTAACATAAAACAGGTATATTATTAAAAATATATTCAATATTAGATTTAATGAAACTAATTTGATATTTTAAATGTTGCTAAATTTTTTCTATAAGTTTAATTAAATTTAACAATATTTAGCTAGGAAAAAAAGTTAAACGGCTTATAATATGAAACATAGATATTGCTATTTTTTAAAAAAGGTTGAACAGATCAAAGGTTTTAATAAAGAAGAAAAAAGCCAAATCTATGCTTATCAAACATTACAACAAAACAGATGGTACTAAATTAAATTATACTGGCGCAATAGAACACGGGCCCCGGACTCCTTCTGCAGCAAGTTACAAGCCAAACTTTCCTCTTCCTTTTCCTTTCCTTTGCTCTCCTCGCTCCTCTTATCATCTCCTCCTACCCGCCCTGCTCCCGTGCTGCCACCAACAACGCGATCACCAGTTCACCACCACCGCCACGCGCGCGCTGTCTCCAAACACAGACGCATAAACCCTAGCAAGCCAACACGGAGGAAGAGCGATCGATCGAGCAGCGGAGAAAGCTTCGCCTCGCCACCATGCGGCGATCGGAGTGGGAGGACCGGTGGTGCAAGCGGCACCCGGAGCACCGGCTGTCCAAGGGCGTGTGCCCCTACTGCCTCCGCGACCGCCTCGCCCACCTCTCCGCCTCCTCCTCGGCCACCACCACGACGCGCGCCTCCTCCTCCGCCGAATCCAGCGGCTACTCCTCCGGCTCGCCTCCCTGCTACGGGGCCCTCTCGGCCGACGTCAGCTCCGTACACGTGGTCGGCGCCGCCGGCTCGTCCTTCGCCAACGTCGCCGCCTTCTCGCAGCCGCTGATGCCGAGCTCGGTTAGTCGGAAACCAGCCGGAGGGGGGCAAGAAGAGCCGGGAAGGGAGGCATCTGGTAAGGGGAAGCAGCAGGAGGTGAAGAGGAAGAAGAGCGGGAAGAAGAAGAAGATTGGGAGGTTCCTGTCGAGGCTCGTCGGAGCGGAGAAGCGGCGGCAATCAGGGGACGCCGATGGCGGCGATCTCTTCCATTCCAAGACCATGAAGGAGAAGACGGCGCACAAGTGGGTATTTTTCTGATCAAACGTTGCCGCCACCGCATGCAAACTATGGATCGTAAATTCCATGCTTGGTTGTTATTCTTGCCTACCTTTTTTTTTAAAATTTTTAGGGGGCTTTCACTCTAAACTATTCTCAAGTATTTTTGTGTTTGATTTTGACTTTTTTTTTAAAAAAAAACAAGAAGAATTTTGGGATCCTGTATGTATACGAGCAGAAGTTTATAATTATTAACCTGTCAATGATTTGTACTTGACCACAACGGGGGATTGCAAATCGTTACTCTGTAAAGCTAGAAAAATATAAGGAGACAGTGTATACGGGTGTAAAATTAGGCATCTGTACAGTATCTTGTATAGTTTCAATTATAAGTTTCATTTCTCGAATTCATGCATGATCTTATAGTTTTGACTATTTAATTTGCTTATTTGTATGTAGAAATCACAATTTTCCAGTTGTACTGCTCGTTAATTTAAGTTACCAGTTAATTGCCACTACAAATACTTACACTTTTGATTTTGGATTTGTAAATCTATTTGGGCAAATTCTGAAGTGCTTCTCTCAAAGGGGACAAATTGTACTTTATGGAATAATGCACATAGCAGTACAATACTACGTACATGGCAACGTGAAGACAACACCGGAAATAGGAAAACCAAATGAAAAAAAAGAGTTTTTATATGCAAAATGCTAATTAAGCTCATAATAACAGTATCAATTTCTTAAATGTTCAGTGATTCTAGCTATTCAAGTTTTCATGTTTTTTGATCGATTGTTACGCCTATTAATTTTAGGCTGAACCAGTGAATTCTCCCACTGGTTATCTACAATTATTTTTATCTTTGCTCCTGTCCTCTCGTTTTGGCATGAAGTTTGTTGTCTGGATTCAGATATTTCTGCCATTTTCGCCAACTCCATCCGCCTATCCTACTTGGTTGGGCAGGGCAGTTCAACAAAATAGCTCCATCTGATTTGATATCACCTACTGTCCTACTGGTGCGCCCCACTGATCAACAACAGTTCTCTGTTCCGTCCAACAGAGACAAGGTTAATTCAGTGATCAGACCTACCAAACTCTTGATTTGTTGTTTAGGTGCGCTGTGCAATATGCCAATAACAAAGGAAGGTTGCAAGCATGAAAGATAGTACTGCATCCGTTCCCAAATAAGTGCACTTACACTTGATGGACACAATTACTATGCAAAATGTTCCTAATTAAGCTCATAATAACAGTACTATGGAAATGAGATGCTCTGATCGGGATCTGACTCCATTATATAACCCTTTTGAATAAAATGATTTAGATGTCCCTGATTAAATGAGGTGTAGTTCGAGATTGAGTGAACAATATGAAGAAATTTGAATAAGAGGTAATTGGAGGAAGAAATAGTGATAAAGAAGTACATTCATTTTGGAAGAAAATTAAAAGCTAGAAGTATATTTATTTAGAGGAGGTAGTAGCCTCTATCACGATCGATAATGCGCATTCACGGATGAACAAGAACAGATGCCTGCCCAGCTATACCCTGATTTTAATAAAACATGCATCATAGCTTTATTGTGATTAAAGTGTAGTGGATGTCAAGTAAATGATAGGAATTGAGTCTAGCTGACCTGCTGGGAGGTGTGAGCAGAGATAAATGATTTATATATTTATTTTTCTATTAATTTGATACCAAGTTGTTTCTTAATTAGTATTCTTTTATCTCTTGTTTACAAGAGAATAAAATGATGTAGTAGTTCTTGAAATCTGTAGTCTGTAGATAGCCATGGTCAATACATGCGGAACGCTGCGTCCACGGCTATGCAGGCGTGTGACCTAAACAAAACCGCCAGTAGGTCAAACAAACAGGCAATACAATAATACCATATCGTACGTTTTGGAGAGCGAAACGCAACCCGTCGTGGAAGGCTCTAACTAGAGAGATTAGAGAAGGAAGGAACAGATCAAAGAAAACAATCGTTGACCGAACCAGATATCAAAACCCCCCAAGTACGATCGGGTCTGATAAGTGGAATATCCTTATCGTCCAGCTCGATCGAAGTAGCACTATACATGGTGGTGATTTGTGGTAGGCATGGGCTACCGTTGGATGCTTAGTGAACAAGTTATCCACGGGCGGAGGCGAGGCGTGGCGTGGCCGGTGGGACGCGGTGGATGCTTACCTGGTAGCGACCCGGCGCGGCGATTCCTTTCGTTGACGTGGAGGTGGGGGAGAGGAGAGAGCCCAGCAGCGCACGGGCGCCCATCCCCTCGAAAGCGCACGGCTTTTTGGGCGCATGTGCGCAACCGTGCAAGTGCGGCACCGCACGTACAGGTGTACCGCACGGGAGCGCGGTCGTTTTTTCCCCGGTGCTACCATGCGACTGCGAATCTGCCTCCGCGCACAGCGAAAAGTTGGGGTTCAGTCGTGCGGAGCGGTTGTGCCTGTATCGATGGGAGCCGGGCCAAGCTGGTGGGATTCCAATTGGGCCGTACTGGACGAATCAGCGTGCTTCCGTTGGGGAAATAAGTCCATTCTACACCCCCCTCTCTCTCTCTCTTCCCACCTTATCTCTCTCGGTCTCTCCCCTTCCCCTTCACGGTGGCGGTGGCAACGGGAGGATGAGAGGAGCAGCGGCGGCTGGTGACGAGCTCCCACTGGGACGCAGCGGAGCCATGGGCTGGGATCGTAGAGCCAAGGAGGACGGCGACAGCTCGATTTTATGGAGGCTTGTGACAGTGAGAGGATGAGGGTAGTGACAGCGGCAGCTGATGGCGAGCTCCCACCGGGGTGCATCGGAATCGGGGGCGGCAGCTCAACCTTGTGAAGGATCGCGACAGTGGGCCCCAGCTAGAGTGATGGCCTCATCGGCTATGGTCACCGGTGTGGTCTCCGATGGCTCTGACCACCGCTACAAGGCCAACGAGGCGCATTCAACGTCCCCCGCGCTATTGCTCTTGTAGGATATGTCGACTTGTCCTTGTCCATATTTGGGGAACCCCACTGCCTCGCATGCACCCAAGTGGAATTAGTGGCCTCCTCAACCATCGCTGTTGCTCGGTGCCCAGCTTCTAGACCTTCAAAGCCGTTGACCGCCCTCCCCTGCTCAAGCTCATTGGCGTAGGTGTTATCACTGCCATCCTCTCCTGCCTCCTTGCCTGGTTGATTTTCAGCCGCGTGTGGTCACTGCCTCTACCACCGTGACAAGGTAGCTGCCGCATCCGGCTCTTCTTTCGTCGGGCGCCCATAGGTCTTACCGGTTCTCATCGTCGTCCCGGCTACAAACTGAGAGCGGAGAGGTGGAGAGAGAGAGAGAGAGGGAGAGAGAGTAAAGAGAAAACTGTCACTGACCCATGGGTCCCTCGCCTTATTTTTATTTTTTTTTCTTGTAATGCCACGTTAGATCACGAATACTAAGTCAATGCGACATGTAGACATCATTTAGTGAAAATCACCCTCAATATTACCGCTAGAGTTATTTTGCACCGGTTTTAATAGTTGGAGAGGTCCAGACACCCTATTTTGCAATCAAGGGATATAAAGTAGATTCGACCTATAATTAAGGGAGTCAAAGTGTACTTTTACCTTCCGTTGAGCAGTTGGGGATTGCTGGGCGGAAGATGGCGAAAGTGGCGACGTGGGAAGATGGGCCGACCATAAGAAGGCCTTTTTAGGGCGAGCAAAATTTTACAGCCTTTTGAGCCTAGCGGCGTGCATCGGCCCAAGGTTTCGGTCGCGTTAGAACTGAATTTCCTACGCGCACAGAACAAGCGCTAGCAGTTCGAGTATGAAATGATGTACTCGTATACACTTTACCAGCTCATGATCTGATGATATGATCAGGCGAAAGGAAGGTAAACCCAGTAGTAGTACACAGAAAGCACCGATCAATCAAAACTGACACGCCCAAACAGGTAGTGAGAAGAGAAGACAGGCCCCGAATCTCGGCAGTAGCAGCTACTACTTGATACTGAAGCTCTTAAACCGGAACAAGCTGCCAACCTTGCGCATCATCACCCGCCGCCGTGCGGGCAACGACCTCGGCATTGTCGAGAACGCGCTTAGCTCGCTCTTCTGATCTTCCATCGACCCGAATATGTCGTACACCGATCCTTCGAAGTTATCCGACCTCCGCCGCGGTAGGGTGAGCCCCGCCGGCGGCTTCACCCTCGCCTCCGAGTGGCACTTGATCAGCCCGTGCAGTTCTCTCGACCCGTGCGACGACGAGGAATCCTCCATGTCCAGCTTTATCCCGGAAGCTGTGGGGCTCGGCGACGCGGATAGCTTCATGCCGGCGGCCGTGGGGCTCGACGACGTGGCGACGAGCAGGCTCTGCAGCTCCTTGACGCTGTCGCGCGCCGCCGCCTCCGTCACCCGGAGGCACTCGAGCTCCTGCTTGGTGCACTTGATGGCGGTGTCCTTGTCGCCGAGCATCTCCTTGAGCGCGGCGTTCTCGCCCCTCGCCTCCTCCAGCGCCTCCTTCACGACCTTGGTGTCCTTGACGGCCTGCCTCAGGATGTCGCGCAGCTTGGCGATCTCGTCCCGCCCGGACCGCTGCGACTCCAGGAGGCGCGCGTTCTCGCGCCGCGTCTCGGCGAGCTCGGACTCGGTGGACTTCATGCACGACGTGAACCCGGCCTCCTTGCCCCGCCACGCCGCGAACGACTCCTCGGCGTCGGCGCGCAGCCTGGCCACCTCCTCCGACAGCGCGCGGAGCTTGTCGTCCTTGCGCTTGAGCGAGACGTGCAGCCGGTCCGACTCCAGCCGCGCCGTCTCGGCCTCGTGCTGCGACCGCGCCAGCAGCTGCCGCGTCGTGTGCAGCTCCCCGTTCACCTCCTTGAGTGCCAGCACCAGCTCCTCCATCGCCTTCTTGTTCTTGTCCTCCGCCACCAGCGCCATCCGCAGCTCGCCGTGAACCCTCTGGTAGTCGCGATCGTACCTTCCTCTCGGCGTCGTCGCGACGGGCACCGCTATGGCCTCGAGCCTCTGGATGGTCTCACGCAGCGACGCGTTCTCCAGCCTGGCCTCCTCGAGCTCGATCTTGGTCATCTCGAGCTGCTTCGTCTGCATCGCCAGGGACTCGAGCATCCGCTTCTCGGACTCCCTGGACGCGTCGAGCTCCGCCTCGAGCGTCTCTATGGTGGTGCGGTCGTTGGCCGACGCCAGCGCCTTCCACTCGCTCACCTCCAGGACGCGGTACGCGCGGTCTCGCTCCTCGCGCGCCTTGCGCAGCTCGCCGCGGAGCTCGGCGACATGCTCGTCCACGTCCTGCCGGCTCTGCTGCATCTTGTTCGTCCGGATTGAACACCTCTTCAGACGTTGCACGGCGATATGAGCAAGAATTCTTGGACCATGATGGTGCGGCGATCGGGGATGGGCTAAACTTCGAGGCATGTGGAGGAAGAAGAGGATAAAAATGGATGATCCAGGCGTGCATCCTCATGTTTTGCTAAATATGTGGTGGCAGATGAGAACCTAAAATTGTGGGTAATGACAAGTTTAAGGCCAGGGTTCATCTGAAATTCTGAATTAGATTGTTACCTATATTTGGAGTGTTGAGTGTTACTATATGTAACTTGTGATCTTGCCCTGTTCTTTTAAACGTGACATTTCCCTGAATTATTGCATAATCATGATATGTATCAGAATTCTGGTTGCTAAAGAAAGCAATCATTTATTCACCTGGAGATCCATTTTTTGAGAAAGCTGTTACAGGCAGAATTCAGATGACTGAGAATACACAGATGAATTTCAGAGAGTGATTTTGTATATCAATAAAGTCTGAACGCACATGATTTGACACACGATGTTAAAATTCACTAGTCATTATACACACAAATCTTCTTGGGGCAGCAGTCAAACCAGTTATTTGTATAATTGTATTGTAACCTACTGAAGTGGGCAGCAAACTTAAGTAGACAACTGGTTTGCTCAATTGCAATTTCACTTAGCCACATCACTTGTCCATCCAAATGGTGCATCTGAGACTCTTCCCCTGCAACAGAAGGTCAAATGCCGTGTTGATGTCCTTCAGGGGAACCTCGTGAGTTATGAACTTGTCCAACTCCAGCTCCTGCATTGCGTTCGTATCAACAATCTTGATGTTAAAATATTGTGACACTATGAACAGTTAATCAGTTTTGAGGGTGTCTGTAAGTGAAAGGTTTACCTTGTTCAGATACTTGTCGGCCAGGATGGGAATGTCCTGCTTGGGTTTCACCCCTCCGAAGAGTGATCCCATTACGCATTTGCCGTTGAGGATCTCCAACGAAGGAATGGACAAAGGGGCACCGTGCATTTCGACGCCAAGAATGATCGTCTTGCCCCATCCCTGCAGCAGTAAACAGTTAGTATCTTCAGACACAGGTGGATCAGCTCATCCAACGTACACTAGGATGTTCGAGTACAACTGTAATGTGCATACCTCTCGGGAGCTCCGAAATGCATCGCTCATCACCGACGCCAGCCCGATGCACTCGAAGCAGTAGTCCGCGCCACCGTCAGTCATCTCGATGATCGCTTGGCTGACAGGTTTGTCCCCAAGTTCTTGTGGATTGATGAAGTGCGTCACACCGAACTTCTTTCCTGAAAATCAACAAAAGGTGTTACTAACTACTAGTATAAACTAGGACATCGACCAAAGGTCTGAATTGTAATCAACATTCAGAACAGTTTCATGAGCAGAAGGGCTTGCCAAGTTCATGTTTCTCAGGGTTCAAATCCACGCCGATGATCGTTGACGCACCGCAAATCCTGGCCCCTTCAGCTACCTGACAACAAAAATACTTCACTATAACATACGTACACTTCAATATTGTACACCAGATAATCGAAAATTAATTACCGCTAATCCTACGGCGCCGAGGCCAAAGATAGCAACCGAAGACCCCGGCTCGACTTTAGCCAGCTTCCACGCTGCTCCGACCCCTGCAACGCATGCACGCGAGCGATCGTGAGAGAACGGCAGGTATGCCTGCATCTCTGCCAGTGTACGTGCCAGCAGTAGACTAGTAGGACGAACCGGTGGTGGCGCCGCAGCTGAGGAGGGAGGCCGTGGCGGGCGGCACGGCGGGGTCGACGCGGACGACCTGGTTGGCGTCCACGACGGTGTACTCGCTGAAGCTGGAGACGCCGAGGAAGTGGTGGATCGGGGCGCCGTGGCGGTCGCGGAAGCGGGCGGTGCCGTCGCGCGGCATCCCGGGGCGCACCGCGAACCGGTACGTGGAGCACACGTTGCTCCGCTCCGAGGCGCAGTCCACGCACTCGGTGCACTGGCCCAGGAACGTGGGCACCACCGGGTCGCCGGCGGCGAACCCTTCCACATGCTCCCCTACGCTCTCCACCACCCTGCAGTTTGTCACTCCGAGATCGATCACCTTGCAATTTTCATACATCTTCGTATATTTTGGCAAAACGAAATAAGGGGAAAAAATAAAAATATACCATTTTTTCACCGATTTTACATAAATATACACGTGTATAAAGGAATAGCAGAAATATAACATTATCGTAGAATGGAAGTGCGAGGTCACACGGTCTCGGGCGGCATCATTAACCGTTAATTAATTATTAATTATTTAACTAGCATCATTAGTAATTAATTAATCACTCAATAAGACTATTAATTGTGCCATTAGTGTCATTCTGGCCGGTGTCGCTCAAGGAACAAGCGAAACCGAGGCCTTCTTGCAACGGCTACCAGCGAAGACCGAGCGGTCTCGTATTCTCACTTGCGAGAGCGCTTGCGTCATCATGCCATCATCGCTATCGCACTTTGGGGTTTTACAATTTCGCTGCGATTTCGCACTATTGAACCGTAACGACGGTCTATTCATGCAAATCCGTAATCTCGTATATTTCTAAGAAATACGATCTATTCGTACAAATCCGTAATCTTGTATATTTCTTAAAAAAAAACCTTCAACATTATAATTTCAAAAAAATATTCAACGAAATAATATGGTTGAAATGTTAACCAATTGGTTTTGAAATTTTAGATGGTTACATAATATGTAAAATCGAGGATTTACGTAGACAAGTGTCATACTCGTGCTTTGTAAGGGGATCTAAAAGAATATGAAAAAATGGTTTTATGTTGATATGGATGATTATGAGGTTCAGTTTTTGAAGGAATATAATTTACAACTTTAGTTTTTTCTACCTTTTTTTTCTAATGAAATTATGAAAACTGGTGGTTTTTGAAAGCGGGTGGCTGGTGGCTGGACTTACGTGTGCCTACCTTCTCAAGCACCTGATGCCATCGATCTTGTATGTTGGTTGTTGGATTCTTGGATGCACGCGCAGGGCTTGACAAGCTTGGCAAGAAGGCGTTTGATGCGGCTTTTTCCCTGTTATGCTGGATTATCTGGAAGGAGCTCAATGCGCGAGTTTTCGAGGTCACTAGTAAGACAAACAACGAGGTAGCCGACACCATTATGTAGGAATGGTGGATTGTTGGGCTTGGCGCACCGATCATATAGACATCTGTGTTCGTTTCTCCAACAAGAGTTGGAAGAAATTTAGGATGCTCGTGATGCGCTTTTTAAACTGCTAAACGTACGCTTCCTTTGATTTTCTAAGAAAAAAACAAAACATATATCCTTTGATTTTCACTTAAATTGGTGGGTCCAATATTATACACCGTTAGATGAAACTGATCTTAAAACAAACTAAAAACCATGGGTCCCACCTATTCTCTCCTCCCGTGCCAAATACGTACGCTTCCTCCCCCTTTTTCCTTTTTTCTTCTTTTTTCCATATATATATATAATGGATATATTTTTTAAATAATCATAATTTTACAAACAAAGAATCTACCATCATATAACTTAAGCCGGTGTACTCTTTACTTTGTACTATTATTTTCAAATAATACACTATTTTAAAATAAATTTTACACAATTATATCGTGTACCTATCAAATAAACAATATTTATATATTAACTAATTTATATGTGCACTTAAATTTATGGGTCCATTATATAAATTATCGGATCTACATTTTATTACACTGGTCTATTATTCTCAAGTAATGCACTATTCTAAAATAAGGTATACACCATTATATTATGTACCCATTAAATTAACAATTTAAAATCTATATTAACTAATTTACACTTACACTAGAACTGGTGGACCTATTATTATAATCATCAAATCTATTGTTTGCTAATAAATAAAGCGTCCAAAATTCTCTTTTTGCCCGCTGCACATTGCACGTCTGCACCTTTGCCTTTCGCACGTATTACAAAGCATAATGTCTGAGACATCTAAGGTGAACACAACCGTTATAGCGCTACCGCTTTGCCACGTATCAAATCATATATGGAGATGATTAATTTTGTAAATGACATAAAAAGAAAATTAAAGGTGTGATGCGACAAGAGAATAATTAAGCACCATGGGTTGTGTTTTTCTCTACACTAATTAGCTTTGTTTAAGTTGAAACCGAGAGTTGATTACATAACAACTATAACGTATTTGTGTTATGTCGTATTTGGATTTTGTACTATTTGTTCGTACAGGTGAAAGGAATCATTATGTTATAAATGTGAGCACAATATTGACGAATATCAATACAAATCTTACTACGACAAGGGTGATAAAGGGAGTTTAAGGCCCTCTCTTTTTTACCGATTCCATATTTTGGATTTTAGTTTGCATGCTTTACAAGTTTCTAAGTGTCATCTTTAAACAACATTCTAACTTTTTAGAAGTCAATCCATTCGTTTATACCCTCGAATAGCTATCACATAAATTATATAATTCATCAATTTCAGCTATCCTAAACCTTAAGTACTACTCCCTCTGTTTCACAATGTAAGTCATTCTAGCATTTTCCACATTAACATCAATATGAATGTGGGAAATGCTAGAATGACTTACATTGTGAAACGGAGGAAGTACATATTTTTTTCATGCGAGCCATGGTGATCAACGGATCATCAAAGTCGTAAGATGAATATATAAGAGTTGCTCTTAACAATTGTAAATAGGTGTCAAAATTAATTGCTATTAATTAGACATCTAATGGCTTGCTAGCCACAAAATTAATTTTTCTCTACATGTATATAAACATGAATGAAGCTGGAACAAATATTACCATATGTCGCATACATATATATTGCGCAGTTAATATTCTAGTTAGTCATTTCAAATTCCTTAAAATGCTCACAAGCTGCCACGTGGTGCTATAATAAATTAGGGCAAATATTAGAAATTCTAAGAAAAAAACAAAGTATATATTATTTGATTTTCACTCAAATTGGTAGGTCCAATATTATAAACCGTTATATATTAAATTGATCTTAAAACAAACTAAATACTACGAGGTCCCACCTCGACATAGGTACGCACCTACGTGCACGGGTACATACGCCTCCCCTCCCTTTTTTCATTTTTCTCTTTCTTATTTTTTCCCATGCATATGCTTCCCTTCCTTTATTACTATATCATGCGTCTTCATGAGACGATTTAATCAAAAGAATTTTTAGTATCTTACACTCGCATTCTTAATTTGCGGCCATACTACACGGTATGTATATACATGGACTGTATGATAATTAACTAGCAATAGTTTCTTATTTACTCGAGAAAAAAAATGATTCAAAAGTCGTAAGTACTTAATCCATCTCTTACTCAAAAGTTTGTGAATGGTTTTCTAAGATACCTTAAGAAATATACAACCCTTAAATTATTATAAAATAACATTATCCAAACTTTAATTTGCCCTGAATCTATGAGATAAAATTTCTGAACAAACAATAATCTTACTTTTCAATAATATATAAGTGCCCGCGCATACGCGCGGGCCACCTTCCTAGTTATTATATACTAAAAGTCCATGAAACTTCCTACAAACACTCCTAAGTCACCATGTGGAAGTCCTACAAACACTCCTAAACCGATACGTGGCACTGTAATAAACAGCTAGACCCACTATTTTTAATTATTATTAGAATTATTTTTTTTGACCTGCCTCTCCTATCCCCCATTAGCCCACATCCACGCATCCCCCACTGGCCCATATCCATGCACGTTCATATGTACTTAAGGAGAAATACCTAATCACTATTTGCCAAATAAAGCAAAAATAACATAATACGTATAGACTATTCATCGGGGAAAAAAAGAACATATATGTATGCACGTTTGCACCTACTGGAAAAGAAGCTATCAATCCTTACCCCTTTATTTTCTTCAATTGTTCACTTTTTAAAACTTTATAAAACATAGGATATTTCTCCTTCCCTCCCCTCACCTCCTCTATTTTTTTTAAGTAACAACATCATATAAAAAATCAATAGTTAGATAGCTTGATGATCATAATTGGTAGTCTATTAAACTTCCTATTAACGCTTCTAAACCATCATGTGGTACCCTATGAATACTGTCGAGTAATCACATAGCACTCTAATAAAACGGAGAAATTCGACCGCATTGAAATCGGTGAACCTATTATTTAATCGCTATATCTATCTTGAAAAAATCACCCTCCGTTCATGACTCCGTGTGGCTTCTCACATATGTACCTAACCTACCCTCCCTCCGTTCTTTTCTCCTTTTCTTTTATTTCCATGATAATTAAAATTATTTTTTCCTTATTGGCCTAAAAAATCCATAGGTAGACATCAACCTTCTAAATCTAGCAAGCTCTTCCTCTAACTTCTCTTTATATAGTATGCTAAACATCACACAAACGTTTCTAAATAACTACTTGGCACTCTTAAATTAGATACAATATAAATTAGAGAAAATAGAAAAAAACATTCGACCATCGATTTCTACTTAAATCAATTTTAGGTCGTTAGATCTACATTTCTTTTTTTTTAAAAAAAATCATCCAGACCTCACTCCGCGCCCCTATGTGACGCCATGACAGACTGATCAGATGTATGAAGATCACACCAATGTCTGATAAATTATTTTGTTAATTGCAGAAAAAAAATTAATTGTGCTAACTTTATATCTACTGTGCAAATGTGTTCTACAAACACATATGTACATTGTTCATTATTATTGTAAATTTAATAGGGGGTAATATACTTGCACAAACACATGACTTTATATAAAGTCCTTCAAACTTTCTACAAATGCTTCTAAACCATCACGTGACATTCTACATACGCTCCTAAGACATCACATGATACTTTAATAGTTTTAGAAAATCATATAAATTATGATAAAAAGCAAAAACATATCATCCTTGATTTTTACTTAAATTGATGAAACTGGATTTATATTATCGAAAGAGAACAACCAGGGCATCCACCGTTAGATTAGAATGATCTAACTAATCAGAGCCTCAAGCGGTCAAGCCCACGTCACCTACCCAGTGCATGCGATGC